CCTGCATAAACCCTCACAAACCCTAATAAACCAGCATCAACCCGTATAAACCCTCATTATATATTGGCCTCAAACCCCTATAAACCCTCACAAACCCTAGAACCCTAATGAACCCTCACAAACCCTAATAAACCTTCATAAACCCTTATAAACCCTCATAAACCCTTATAAACCCTTATGAATTCTCATAAACCCTTATAAAGCCTCATAAACCCGCATAAACCCGCTTTGTAGAGTGCCTATAAATAGAGTAAATTGAAATGATAAACATCTGTGCATTTGTTTTTTATTTATGTATATTTGTTTTTATATCTGCTGGTGTTGACCTGTGAAGGGTAGGTAAATGGGTTTATGCGTGAGTTTGCTGCTGCTGCTGCTGCTGCTGCTGCTGTTGCTGCTTCGGCCTTTGCGGTGCAGCAGCAACGTTTTCTGATGCGGAACTGACAGCCCAACTCCAGCAGCAGCAGCAGCAGCAGCAGACCGGGACCCTGCTGCGTGCAGATTCTGATGCTGCAGCATCCGTTGCTGCAGCTGCCGCCGCAACTCCAAGCTCTAGGCAGCAGCAGCAGCAGCAGCAGCAGCGGCTGCAAAGCGGAGTAAAGGGAGTTGTCTTCGAGTCAACGCGAGGCTGCTGGCGGGGGGTGGTGACAGACAAAGCCACAGGAAAACAGGTACAGCAGCAGCAGCAGCAGCAGCAGCAGCAGCAAAGTGTCCTTTGTTGCTGCTGCAGGATTAGCAGCAGCAGAAGCAAAATGTGTTTGTTGCTGCTGCAGGTCGTACGCAGATTCAGCGTCAGAAAGTATGGCCATGAAGATGCCCAGAGAAGGGCAGAGGAGTTTTGTCTGCAGCAGCAGCAGCAGCAACAGCAGCAGCAGTTGCTGCAGCTGACTGCACACTCGGAGGCAGCAGCAGCAGCAGCTGCTGCTGCTGCTGCAGCAAATGCAAATACTGCATTTACGGATTATGACCCGAAGCTGCTGCTCCTGCCAGACGTAGGAGTGCAGCAGCAGATGCTGCTGCAACTGAAGCGGGAGGCGGAGATGCAGCAGCAGCAGCAGCAGCAGCTTCTCGATCAGGCAGCAGCAGCAGCGCCGGGATCGGCTGCAGCTGCCTCCGGGCTACAGACTCAGCCGCTGCTCCTGGGTGCGCAGCAGCTGCTGGAGAGCAACAGCAGCAGCAGCAGCAGCGGGGAACCAGCAGCAGAAGACCCCAACAACAGCGAGGCGTTGCTGCGGCAGCAACAGAGGCTGCTGCTGCAGCATGAGTTGCTGCTGGCTTCTTGCGCGAGGCAGCAGCAGCAGCAGCAGACGGAGAAAGACGTAAGGGACACAGCTACAGCAGCAGGAGCAGCTGCTGCTGCTGCTGTGCAGCAAGATCAGCTGCAGTGCTTCCCTCTGCCGCTGCAGGAGTCAGGCTTGCTGCTGCAGCAGCAGGCAGCGAGCGGCCGGGCGCTGCAGCTGCTGTCTCTAAAGGAGGGCCCACAGCAGCAGCAGCAGCAGCAGCAGCTAACGGAGCAGTTGCAGCAGCAACTACTGCAGCAGCAATTGCTGCAGCAGCAACTGTTGCAGCAGCAACTGCTGCTGCTGCAGCAGGCTGACTGTCAGCAGACCCTCAGGCCTGAAAGTGAACCACCAGCAGCACAGCAGCAGCAGCAACAGCAGCAAGAGCCGCTGCAGCAGGAGCTGCAGCAGCCGCTTCATGAGGAGCAGCAGCAAGAACAACAGCAGCAGCAACAGCAGCAGCAGGAAGAAGGGTCGCAGCCCAGTGGTGTAGGAGAAACAGAGCTGCCTGCTGCTGCTGCTCTAGACGCAGCACCTGCTGCTGCTGCTCTAGACGCAGCACCTGCTGCTGCAGCTCTAGACGCAGCACCTGCTGCTGCTGCTGCTGCTCCAGATGCAGCAGCAGATGCCCCTAGAGATGTTTGAGCTAGCTGCAGAGTTTTGCTTGTTCGTTGCAGCAGCAGCTGCTGCTGCTGCTGCACGTGCTGCTGCTGCAGCTGCTTGGGCATTTGCTGCTCGGGTGTACTTATAACTTAAGATCCGTTTGAGTCTTTTAAAAAACTGAATGCGAAACGAAAACAATGTAGCAGCAGCAGCTGCTGCTGCTGTTGCTGCAACTGCTGCAGCAGATGTAGCAGCAGCAGCAGATGCTGTTTAGGGGAAGGGCACTGAAGTTAGAGGGGCTCTGATGATTGCTGCTGCTTGCTGCTGCTGCTTCTGGTTGCTGCTGTTTCTGACTGCTGCTGCTTCTGAATGCTACTGCTCCTGCTTGCTGCTGCTGCTGCTCCATATGCAGCAGCAGCAACAGGTGGCGGGGCACAGCAAGAAGGGCTTCTATCCCTTAGGGAAATTGGAACTGCAGCAGCACAAGCTGCTGCTGCTGCTGCACTACCTGCAGCAGCAGCAGCATCATTAATGCGGAGGAACCTCCGCCGCTGCCACCTACTGCTACAGCAGCTGCAGCAGCAGCAGTTGCAGCAGCTGCAGCAGAGGCACACCACTACCTGCTGCTGCTGCTGCTGCTGCTAAGGCTAAGCAACAGCAGCAGCAGCTGCTGCTGTACCAGACGCACAGCTCTACCTTCTGCTACTGCTGCTGCTGCTGCTAAAACTAAGAGCAGCAGCAGCGGCAGCAGCAGCAGCAGCAGCAATCACCAAGGTTTGAGTTCTCTGGGCCCCTGTGCGTCATAAGGCCCCGACTTAGCACGTAGTTTTTGCTTCGGGTCCTGCAGCAGTTTGCTGCTGCTGCTGCTGCGTAGAGGGTCGCTAACAGTAAGATTGTCTCTTGCTGCATCGAGCTTGTATGCTGTGCTGCTGTCTACGGCGAAGCAGAGGCCCCCAGTCTGCCACCAGTCTGCTGCTGTTGCTTCTGCATCTTCTGCTGCTTCTCCTGCTGCTTCTCCTGCTGCTTCTCTTGCTGCTGCTGCTGCTGCTGCTGCTTCTTCTTCTATTACTTCCTCTCTTACAAACAGCGGCTCCATAACCCGCTCTGCTGCGGCCTTAGCTGCTTCAACAGCCTTATCCCGCTTCTTCCCCTTGCTGTTGCTGCTGCTGCTGCTGCTGCTGCTGCTGCTGCTGCTGCTGCTTGGTTTGAGGCCCTTCCCTGTAGACTTCTGCATCGTTTGCAGCTGCAGAAAAAACAAAACACCAAAGTGATAGGAAGGGTTAATAAGAGTGTATTGTTGCTGCTTACTAGGGTTTAGGGTTTAGGGTTTAGGGTTTACCTGCTGCCTGAAGGCCTTCAGCTTCTCTAGGGTCTCCGCTTGTCGCTGCTGCGAGCTTCTCGATTGGCGCTGCAGCAGCACCAGCCGCCGCCGCTGCTGTGCAGCAGACAGCAAATCTGCATCTGGCAGTGCTGCAGCAGCAGCAGCAATATCACTCCGTGTGGGGGGGAGAGGGGCCCCCTTCCTCACCCCCATGCTCCAGCTGCTGCTGCTGCTGCTGCTGCTGCTGCTGGGTTTGTTGCGGCTCCTGCTCCTGCTCCTGCTCCTACTTCTCCTGTCCCTACTCCTGCTGCTGCTCCTGCTGCTGCTTCTGCTGCTGCTTCGGCTGCTGCTGTCGTCGAGCTCTTCATCAGCAGCAGCAGCAGGTCCTGCTGCAGCCCTCCCTTCAGCAGCAAGAGCAGCAACCCGCTCCCTGAGGCGCTGCGCTGCTAGCTGCTGCTGCTGCTGCAAAGGTGCATGCTTTGAAAGTTTAGGGTCTTGCAGCAAGTCATGTGCGCTGAGGGGTCCCTTCCGTTGCTGCTGCTGCTGCTCGTGCTGCTCGTGCTGCTGCTGCTGCTGCAGCTGTATGTCATCATCGTCTTCTGCAAAAGACAGCAGCGCAGCTTTAGCAACTGCGAGTTGCGGCCTCTTTTGCTGCTGCTCTTCCTCTTCTTCTTCTTCACCTTCTTGTTCTTGCTGCTGCTGCTGCTGCTGCTGCAGCAGCAACAAGTTTCTCGGTATGATATCTGTGAAGGGGTTTCTTAAGATCTCTATGCGCAGCAATATAGGGGGCTCTAGAGGCCTATCATATTTATCTACAGCAAGCTCATTAGCTCGCAGCAAATTAAATAAAGAGGGGCCCTTCACCTTGCCCATTAGGGTGTATCTTGAGTTTAAGCTGTCTGCTCTACCCAACGTAAAGAAAAACTGACTGCCTATTGAAGGGGGCCCCCCGCCTTCTTCATCTCTTCTTGCTGCACCCATCAAACCCCTATAACGAAATTGCAGTCGGGAATTCAGCTCCAGAGTCAAGGGGCCCCCTGCAACCTTAGGAAGCCCCCTCTTAGGGGCCCCCTTAGGGGCCCCCTGCTTAGGGGCCCCCTCCTGGGTGGCCCCCTTAGGGGCCCCCTGCTTAGGGGCCCCCTCGTGGATGGCCCCCCGTTGATCTTGTATGTCTTTGTCTTCTTGATATGCATCTTCATCATCGCCATCATCATCATCATAGATGCTGCAGCCGCCTCTCCCTGTACCTGTGGGGTCGCCGCCTTGCAGAATAAAGCCTTTGATTAATCTATGAAAAATAGTATTATTATAATAACCTTCAGCAGACAGCTGAAGAAAGCTACGCACTGTTCGAGGGGCCTCTCTAGCAAATAAATCAATATCAAAGGGGCCTAATGTTGTCTCCATCACTACACGAGCCGTTGGCTGAGGCTCGTGTACGTACACCTCAGACATTGTTGCTGCTGCTGCTGCTGCTGCTGCTGATGCTGCTGATGATGCTGCTGATGATGCTGCTGATGCTGATGCTGATGATGCTGTTAATTATGCTGCTGAAGATGCTGTGAGATAATGCTGCGGATGCTGTTGATTATGCTGCTGATGATGCTGCTGCTGCAGATAATGATAATGACGAAGATTATGCTGCTTCTCCTGATGCTGCTGCTGCTGCTACTGCTGCTCGGGTTAATGTGCAAACTTAGCACTGAGAAGCTGCATGCATCTGATGATGCTGCTGCTGTTGCTGCTCCGCTAATGGCGGCAGCAGCAAACGACCAAAAACGAAATAACTGAGGGAGCTTCTGTTGCTGCTGCCGCTGCTGCTGCTGGCGTGGCCTCTGCTGCTGCTGCTGCAGCTGCTGCAGCAGCAAAGGCTGCCGCTGTTGCTAGCGCTCCTACTGCAGCTGCTGTACCTGCCGATTCTTCTTCTTCTGCTGCTGCTGTTGCTGCTGCTGCTGCCGCTGCTTCGGTTGCAATTCTTTAAGACAGGCCGCAGAGGCAGCGCCTTGACGGGCTCGCAAACAGGAAGAAAGATATCCCCCCAAACCCTAAACCCTAAACCCTAAACCCTAAACCCTAAACCCTAATTACTTTACTACTGCTTCAACTCCGTCCTTCCATCCTTCTTGCATGCGCAGCAGCAGCGACCGGGCAGGGACTTCTGTTGCTGTTGCTGCGGCTGCTGCTGCTGCAGTGTTGCTGCTGCGGCTGCTGCTGCTGTTGCTGCTGCGGCGCACACACTTCTTGCATCAGTGAGGGTTTATTACAGTGAATTTAAAACCCTTATTACAAGCCCAAACCCTAAACCCTCAACCCTAAACCCTAGACTGGGGGCTGCGCTGCCTAGCGGCCGTAGTGGAGGCTTGACCCCATCACCTCCAGACGCCGTAAACCCTAAACCCTAAACCCTAAACCCTAAACCCTTGATACTAAATCTCGGGCTCAAAGACCCTAAATTCTAAAACCTAGGTGTTATCAACATCTTTCTTTTCTATTTTTAAAGCTTTTACCTCCTTTCAGCCGCAGCAAAGCGGCAAGACACCGGCTGGCAGCAGCAGCTGCAGCAGCAGCTGCAGCAGCAGCTGCAGCAACAGCAGCAACAGCAGCAGCAGCAGCAGCATCAGCCCATGGCGGGGAGGGGCTCGTCTGTGTCTTCGCTGCCTCGGGGGCACTCCCCCACGGTGCAGGGCAGCCGCAGAGGGCCCCTCCGCAGCAGCAGCAGTAGCAGCAGCAGCAGCAGCTGCAACAAGGCATCACCGGCCATGGGGGGCCCCCCAGAGGGTACCAAGCTGGTAGAGGGGGGCCCCCGTAGGGGCCTCCTGCGAGGCTCGCGAGCTGGAGGCACTCGCATGAGGCCCCTTGCGGAAGCACAGTCCTGCAGCAGCAGCAGCAGCAGCAGCAGCAGCAGCAGTAACAGCAGCCTTGGGGCCCTCAGTGGTGCTGCATTGTCCCCTGCTGGACTTGCTAGTGACCCTCAGCAGCAGCAGCAGCGGAAGCTCCGAGGACAATCAATTCTGTCTCCAGCTGCTGGCAGCAGCAAGGGGACAGCGAAGAGCAGAGGGGCTCGCAACCTCGTTTCTCCTCAGCGCAGCAGCAGCAGCAACAACAACAGCAGCAGCAACAACAGCAGCAGCAGCAGCAGCAGCTCAGCCGAGATGGAGGTGGACCAAAAGGCTTCACCGCCCCTGGGGGCCCCTGCTGCTGCTGCTGCTGCTGCTGCAAATTCACGCAAGTTAAAGCAGCAAAGAGTCGCTAGTGGGGCCCCCATACCATCTCCAGGGGGGCCCCCAGCAGCAAACAGGAGCACAAGCAGCCGCCGGAGGAAACCTCCGCAAAGCAGCAGGAGCAGCAGCAGCAGCAGGGGGCTTACTGCAGCAGCAGCAGAACAGCAGCAGCAGCAGCAGACCAGCAGCAAAACCCGTGCATGCACTCCTGTGCGTCAAGGTGCCTCTACAGCCGACAACAACAGCAGCAGCAGCAGCAGCCATGAACCGAGCAGCAGCAGCAGCAGCAGCAGCAGCAGCGACTCAGAGTATGATGAAGATTCAAAGGGGGCCTCCAGCCGCAAGGGGGCCCCCAGAAAGAAAGGGTGCAGCCCTCTGCTGCAGCGATCGGTAGCAGATAAGGTGTCTTTGCTGCAGCAGCAGACGTTGTCGCTTCCAGCAGCAGCGCCCGCAGCCAGCAGCAGCAGCAGCAGCAGCAGCAGCACTGCAGCAGCAGCAGCACTCGTCAGTGGGGGCCTTATATCTGGCTTAACTTTGTCTTCTTCCCCACTAAGAGAGGCCCCGGGCCTAAGACGCAAAACCCCTTCTTTGCTGCAGCTAGCGGAGTCTTCACCTATCAGCAAACACCAGCAGCAGCAGCAGCAGCAACAGCAGCAACAGCAGCTGTGTGGATCTGCAGATCAGGAGAGCGTTGATGCTGCTGCTGCACCTGCAGCAGCAGCAACAGCAGAAACAACCGCAGCAACAGCAGCAGCAACAGCAGCAGCAGCAGCAGCAGTTGATTCCGAAACAGATTTGCTGACAAAGACAGCACAGAATGAGGGGACGGGGGCCCTCGGAGACACCGAGGGAATTGTGGCTGTGCTGCGTCTTGCTGCAGCTGCAGCAGCAGCAGAACAACCCCATACGGCAGCAGAAACAGCAGCAGCAGCAGCAGCAGCGGGAGAGGCTTGCTGCAAGTTGAGGGCCGGAGACATCATTTACTTAGGGGGCCCCAACTGGAAGGGCCCATTCCCCCTTCACTGCTTGTGGGTTGCTGCTGCTGTTGAGTGCTGCTGCTGGTGCTGCTGCTATCGCTGCTGCTGCTGCTAGCAACGGTGTTACAGGCTCGGTTGCTGCTGCTATTGCTAAGTGTTGTTGTTGTTGCTGCTGCTTCTGAGTATTTCTGCTGCTGCTTCTTTTGTTGACGGGGATGTTAGAGTCTCGGCTGCTGCAGCAAAGTGCTGCTGCAGCAAAGTGCTGCTGCTGTTGCTTCGTGTGGTTTGTGTCTGCAGGAAGTGTGGGGGGGCCCGCGAGGTCTCTATCGAAGCAAAAGAAGCAAACGAAGGAAGTGCTGAGGGCCTCCAGTTGCTGCTGACGTCTGCAGAGTAAGCAGCGCAGCAGCAGCACCCAAACAGATACTCCCGCCCTGTGGGGGGGCCCTCATGAAGCACTGCTGCTGCTGCTGCTGTTTTCGTTGCTGCTGTTGGAGATGCTGCTGTTGCTGCTGCCGTTGTTGCTGCTGTTGGGGGTGTTGCCGTTGCTGCTGCTGTTGGTGGTGCTGTTGCTGCTGCTGCTGTTGGGGGTGTTGCTAGTGTTGCTGCAGCTGTTGGTGGTGCTGTTGCTGCTGCTGCTGCTGCTGCTGCTGTAAGGCGACCGCTGGGGCCCTTTCTGCTGCTGCATCTTCATGTGCTGCATGCGTTATTATATATATGGTGCATAAACATAAACAAATTAATTGCTGTTTTATTATGAACTGCTGGGGAGAGAACAGCAGCAAACGGTCGAGGTTTTGCTGCTCTGTTTGCTGCAGCAGCAGCTGCCCCCATCGTCTTCACCACGGAGAAATCATCAGCCTCTCGAGTAAGCAGCAAACCCTCAGCAGCAGCAGCAGCAGCAGCAGCAGAAGTAGCAGCAGCAAGAGTAGCGGCAGCAGCAACAGCAGCAAAGAAGGTGCTTGCAGAAGAGCTTTATATGAATGAAATCAGGGTTTAGGGTTTAGGGCTTAGGGTTTAGGGTTTAATGCTGCGCTTTATGCAGAATTGCCGGAGGCACCCCCTCACGAATGCGGCCTTCGGCTGCAGGTCCTGTTCATGGGCAAGCAGCAGCAGCAGCAGCAGCAGCAAAAGCAGGAAGAAGCGCAACAGAAACAGCAGCAGCAAGAAGTGCAGCAGCAGCAGCAGCAACAGCAGCAGCAGCAGCAACAGCCGGACACCCACAGCGGTGGAGCTGTGGTTTCGCTGCTGCGTTCATTCATGAAGCCCTTCGTTAGAGCTGCTGGCGGCGAGCAGCAGCAGCAGCAGCAGCAGCCACAGCAGCAGCAGCAAGAAGAAGAGGTGCAGCAACGTGTAGAGGAGCAGCAGCAGCAGCCACAGCAGCAGCAGCAAGAAGAGCAGCAGCAGCAAGAAGGCCAAGACACGGAGATTTGGTTTGATGCGGTGACATCGCAGCGCAGCAGTCCCTTTGTCTCTTCTACTGACCTGCAGCAGCCCCAATTAAGCAGCAGCAGCAGCAACGGCAGCAGCAGCAGCATGGAAGCAGATGCTGCAGAAGCAACAGAAGCAGCAGAAGCAGCAGAAGCAGCACCTCAAGCAGCAGAAGGGAAGCTGGTTTTGCTGCAGCTTGTTGAAGTCTTAGAGAGCCAAGCGAAAACCAACAAGACGCAAGACCACGCCGTACGTCCTGCTGCTGCTGCTGCTGCTGCTGCTGCTGCTGTTTAGAGGCGCTGTTGTTGCTGCAGCTGCTACCGTTTAGTGGTGTCGTTGCTGCTGCTGCTATGTTGAAAGGGTCTTGTTTCTGCTGCAGCTGCTGCTGCAGCTTCTGCTGCAGCATATCTAAGTATGTTCCTGCTGCTGCTGCTGCTTCTGCTGCTGCTCAGAACCCCAGCAGCCCGCTGCTGCGGCCTGTGGCTGATCTTCGGTGTGGAGGTGCGGCGGCGTAAACCCTAAACCCTAAACCTCCGCGAGTGTAGCTGCAGCAGATGCGTCTTAGCAGCTTCTCTAGCAATCTAACAGCTTACTGCTGCATCTGCTACTTCTGGATCTGCTGCTGCTGCTGCTGCTGCTGCTGCTTTGCTGCAGAGGGGCCCCGCAGCCCTCTTTCTCTGATGGGTCGGGGCCTTACTTCTTCACCTTCTAAACCCTTATCTCTTTGGGGGTCTCAAGGAAGTCTGTCTCCTTTGAGGTTCTCCCAGCCTGCTGCAGGGCAGCTGCTGCTCTCCGCCAGTCAGGAGGCCTTCAAGTAGGGTTTAGGGTTTAGGGTTTAGGGTTTAGGGTTTAGGGCTGGGCGCTATTGAGTTTAGGGTTTATTAGGGTTTATGATTGTTTTTTAGGGTTTAATCTCCACTGGGTGAATTGAGGGTTTAGGGTTTACTGCTTAGGAGGGTTTAGGGTTTAGGATTTTAGGGTTTAGGGTTTAGGGTTTAGGGTTTGTGCGCAGGGGCCCTTCTCAGTCTCAGCAGGGCCGGGGCCCCTCCGAGGTTTCGCCTTTGCGCATGCAGGGTTGGGGGCCCCTAGAGGGTAGGCGGGGGGCCCCCAAAAGCCCTTTGAGGGTTCATGTGGGGGCCCCTGAAGTTGTGTTAGAAGTTGCTGCTGAGGTGCGCGCATCCCCTCAAACAGGAGGCCCCCCTAGCAAACAAAACCCTCAGGGGGGCCCCCATAGCAAACTAAACCCTCAGGGGGGGCCCCAGGGCAAACTAAACCCTCAGTGGGGCCCCCAGGGAAAACAAAACCCTTTTAGGGGGCCCCCCGGCAGAGAAAACGAACCCTTAGGGGGCCCCCAAAGAAGACACTCAAAGCGGGAAGCCAGGGGCCCCTTAGGGGCCCCTCCTATACGGCTGAGGGTTTAGGGTTTAGGGTTTAGGGTTTAGGGTTTGTGTGCAGGCGGTGGTTTCTTGGGATGCAGATATAGGGGAAGTCAGGCGTTTGGTTCAGCAAGTCTTAGAGCGGAGATATGGTGAGGCTAAGGGGCCTCCTAAACCCTAAACCCTAAACCCTAAACCCTAATCTTGCTTTTGGGGGCCCGCTGGCTGCATCTCAGGGGCCCCCAGCCTCTTTCTAAGCAGCCCTGGACCCTTTCTGGGGCCCCTTCAACGTACTCTACACTCCTTGCGAGGGTTTAGGGTTTAGGGTTTAGGGGTTAGGGGCCCCTGCATGGCTAAGAGGGTTCTTCAGTAGAGGCTGAGGTCCTAGGGGGCCCCTACTAATACACCCCCATAACATTGTAGGGGGCCCCCCCAGCATCCAAGGGCGAGGGGGCCTCTCTCTCTGTCTCTCTCTGTCTCTCCCTCTCTGTATATATATAATATATATATATGCTCTTTGTTGCTGCATTTGTTGTGTATAGGAGCATCGCACAATGCTGAATTTGATTTATTATCGAGGCCGTCGGTCTCATCTAAGGAAGGAGGGGTTGGGGGCCCCCAGGGGCCCCAAGGGGGCCCCCCTGGGGGCCCCCCAGCGGGGCCCCTGGAGGCGCGGTGGGTCTTTGAACTTCCAGCAGTGGAGGGCCCCTCAGTACCGTTTGCTGCTGATTGCATGCGTTTGGGGGCCCAGGGGGCCCCCTTGCAGCCCGACGAGGGTTCTTGTTTGCTTAAGAGCGCACTCGCTGCTTACTTCAGGGTTAGAGGGGCCCCCCCTAGGGCCCCCCCCGTTGACCCTGCGAGTGCTGCTCCCCCGTCTGAGCCTGCAGCACCAGCAGCAGCAGCAGCAGCAGCAGCAGTAGATCCGCATATATCTCAAGCCCTTCAGGACCTAAGGAGGCCCAGCGAGGAGTTAAATGCCTTAGACGAAGATATCTCTTCACCAGATGCAGATATTATACACCCCAGTTCTCCCCTCATACAAAACGGGGGCCCCCATGATGCCCCCCTTGGGGGGCCCCCACAGGGGCCCCCCGTAGAGACACTTCAGGGGCCCCGAAAGTCTGTAGAGACAGCCCAGACACATCACCAGCAGACAGTTGGAGGGCCCTCTTCCTTAGAAACGCCTGAGGGGGGCCCCCCTCCTTCTTCAGAAACGGCTCAAGGGGGCCCCCCTCCTTCTTCAGAAACGGCTCAAGGGGGCCCCCCTCCATTAGAAGTACCTAAGGGGGCCCCCCCTTCTTTAGAAGCACCTCAGGGGGCCCCCGAGGAGTCATCTTCCTTTCAGGCAGCAGAGGTTGGGGGGGGGCCCCTGACAGACACTGCAAAAGCAACAGCCCAAGAGCTTGAGCTCTCTTCTGATGCTGCAGCTTTACAATCGAAGGGGCCCCCAACCCCCGTAGACTAATGTGCGGGGCCCCTGGAGGGGGCCCCTACAGACGGGGGCCCCTGAACGGGAGCCCCACATATCGGGAAGGGGCCCGTGAAGGGGGGCCCCACAGCTGGAGGCCCCCTAAGGTAGGCCCCACAAATGGGGGCCCTTAAGGTAGGCCTCAAAGATGGGGGCCCCCTAAAGTAGGCCCCATAGATGGGGGCCCCCTAAGGTAGGCCCCATAGATGGGGGCCCCACAGATGGGGGCCCCTGAAGGTAGGCCCCACAGATGGGGGCACTCTTAAGGGGGGCCCCACAGATGGGGGCCCCTTATGGGGGGCCCCACAGATGGGGGCCCCTTATGGGGGGCCCCCTGAAGGGGGCCCCTTAGGAGTGCAGGAGTTTGGAGTGGATGCTAAGCCCTGCAGCCGAGTTTGTATGCGTCGCTGCCTAGGGTGTAGCAAACCCTAAACCCTAGCGGTGATAGGTTTGATGATGTTTAAAGGTTAATCCTCTATGCTTTTATTTTGCTGCACTTGCGGTGTATAGACGCTGCTAGGGTTCGTGCTGCAGTTGTTACAGTTTGCTGTTGTGGTTATTGCTACTGTTGCTGCTGCTGCTGCTGTTTAAACCCTTAGAGGGTACCCCTAGTCAATAGCTATGCTCCCCGGGGCCGTATGCTTCAGTTACTGCAGCAGCAGCAGGTGCTGCAGCAGCAGCAGGTGCTGCTGCAGAAGAAAGCAGCAGGAGTACGCTGATGACGTTATTGAGGTTGCTCTTGCAACGTTTCGCTGCTGCGATTCAGCAACAGCAGCAGCAGCAGCAGCAACAGCAGCAGCAACAGCAACAGCAACAGCAGCAGCAGCAACTGCAGCAAGGACGATGAATAGAACTACGAGATACCTCTGCCTTCTCTCAGCACTGACAAAAACAAAAGCGAGTATAAACACAAAACACCATTTAGTTATTTAGGGTTTAGGGCTTTTTAGGGTTTAGGGTTTAGGGTTTATGTGTTTCTGCTGTCTCTTTTAAACGAAGAAGTAATGACATACAAATAATCAAGTTAGTCTCCCCTATACCTTTATGTGCATTATATATATATGTATATATATTATATATTATATTATATATATATATATATATATTTATAGACATCCTTATTATATAGTAGATACTATATGTATACTTTACATATATACCTATTCTCTATATTTTGCATAGTGTATGCGCAATGGATACACATATATATATATATATATATATATGCATGTGTATATACATATATCCATACTATATATAATATATATATATATATATATATATATA